TTTTAGGGAAGGGTCTGCGGGCTATTCAGGGTCTCACTACTAGATCGGACAAGTAGTGATCTGCCTGTTTACAACCTCCCAAGAGCTGGGATTACAGGCGTGCTACCCAGTCTCAATCACCCATCTCAGGGCACCCCGGGTGCAGGGAGGGGCCAGCATGGTAGGCCTGCGGATCAAACCTCCAGCCCCTGCATCAGCAGGCAGGCACTTTAATCCGCTGAGCTATTTGGCTGGCCCCACAGTATACCACCCATTGCCTTAGTGCCTTTAGGATTTTTTTTTTTGGTACTGGGGATTGAACTCAGGACCCTGTGCTTGCCAGGCAAGTGCTTATTCTTTTCTCTTGGTGGTACCAGGGATCGAACTCAGGACCTTGTATTTGGTAGGCAAGCACTGACTCCACAGAGCTATCTCCCCAGCCTCTTTTTTCTTTCTTTCTTTTTCTTTTTTTGGCTGAACCAGGGATTGAATTCAGTCCCTTGCACTTGCCAGGGAAGCGCTTATTCCATTGAGCCATATCCCTGGCCTGCAAGCGCTTATTCTAAGCTATCTCCCTGGCCCTTCATATTTTAATTAAAATAGCTTACTAGATTTTCTTTTAATATAAGTATGAGAAAAACCACATTAAGTTGTAGCATTCCTTTTGAAATAAAACCACTCAAAACCCAAATCTCCAAGCTTTATACTCCATAAACAATTTTTTTGAGGTGGTACATTGTACTATGTCATATACCATTACTTAATCGTTTGTCTGTCTTAAAAAATGATGGAAAGCACAGCATTCAATGTAGTGTGAAGCACTGCTACAGTAAATGAAGTATTTCTGGCCCAAATGGGCTGTGCTAACAGGCGAGGTTCCCAGGATTAGTTGGATGTGGTGGTGCACACACATAATCTCAGCCCTTGGAGTGCTGAGGCAGGATGATTGCAGTTGAGTTTGATGCCAGCCTGGGTTACATAGTAAGCTCAAAGCCAGTTTGGACTTCACAGTAAGATCCTGTCTCAAAACAAGAAGAAAACCCTAAGATTACATTTGAGAAGGTTAAAAGATTTCATGTAATTGAGAACACTAATTTTTAATATTTCACATTTTGTAATGTAAATCTGCCAAAATTATTTACTTACTGCTCTTTATTTATATTTATTTATTTATTTATCTTTAATTTTAGTACAGGGTCTACAGGGTCTCACTACACAGATCGGACTTGTAATGATTCTCTGTTTTCAGCTTCCCAAGGGCTGCAATTACAGGCATGTGTCACCACGCCCAGTCTCAGTTGCGGTCTCAGGCTGCCCCATGGGTGGGGCCAACACAGCAGAATGGGGATGAAACCCAGTCACTGCGCCTGCCTCAGCAGGCACTTTAGCTCACTGAGCTAGCTGTCTGGCCCTTGCTTTTCAAATTATGAAGTGTTTTGGGTTCATTAGGGTTAAAATAAGATACCTCTAGTCAGATTTAACATGAATATTTTAAAAACAAATATATTTGCTTCTATGATGTCCAATTCCTTTGTATTTACATGTGAAGCAACATGAATTAACACTGCTCTTCATAATCCGCCAAACCCAGAGTAAAAAACAATTTAGGTGATCAAAGCAGATAAGAGCACAGCCCTACAACAAACTACTTTGAAACTAGAAGGGCACTTCTGTGGAGTCAGAAAACATTCCCAGTGTAACTTTCAGCTCTGGCACCCATACCCTGAAGTACAAGTGTTAGGAAGTTAGGTCACCTCCCTCGAAGGGCTGACTGCTCAGAGCCAAGCCCCTTGTCCCAGTCAGTCTGATTCCTCCCTGCCCCCTGGGCTGGCCAAGAGCAGACACCTAGGAGAGACCAGAGCAAGCAAAAGCCAAGTATTACAAATTTATAAAATTAAGATTTTTCAAATGAAGTTTTGTAAAAGTTTGTAGCTGTTCTACTCCTGCTGTAGTGCTGTGGAAGGACCATGCACAGCACAGTGCTCCTCCACAGGGCTGTAAAGCTTAAAACCATACTACACCTGGGGGACACCTTTTATCTTTCTATCTGGTTCCTTAGTAGACACCCTCAGGGTTGGCATCATGGAAGTGCAGTAAGTCCCTAACTTACAAATGAGTTCTATTCCAGAATTTGCATTTATTTGTGAACTGACAGAGTGAATCTTACACAGTAATGTGTGAGAAGTCCACAGCTAAAATGTTCCTAAATCAGGGACTCACTGTGCCTTTTAATACACTTATTTAACAAGAGGAAAATTATCAGAAAATGAGAGATACCATTGATAGTTGACAAGAGATGTAATGTAGACCCACTCAGTGTAGACAGTCAGCAGCTGGTACTTTCGCTTTATGACCTCAAGCATTCCAAAATGCTAGTGGGTAGTGCCTGCAAAGATTATGAATGGCAAGTGTTATCCAGCACAGTTTGGTTCAATGCATTCACAACAGAGTTGTAATTCTTGTCTTGCTGCTGGGCAACTGGAATCACTGGTGGTACAGCATGAATGTCCATGCACGACTGTCCTACTTCTACCAGCAGTGTTCAAGCAGTATAGTCATGCATACAAGGTATTCAGGCCAATGGGAACATCTTGAACTGATTGCCAATAATAACTAGCAGCTTCAGTGGTATAGTAGCGAGTACCTTTGAAACCTGACAATGCTACCATCTACTCCTAAGTGTTAAGAGTCTCACATTTTGGGCTGGGTGTTGTAGTTCAGTGGCAGTTAGCTTGCCCAGCACGTGGCTAGATCCTGGGTTCTATTTCCAGCATTGTGCAATTTAAAAAAAAAAAGCCCTGAATTTTAACAGTAATACTGCATTGATTCTGAAGGCATATACAGCAGGTGCAATAGGAAAAACATCAGTTATATTGTTCATGTCTTCAAAGTTTAAAAATTTTAATGTAAAAAAATCTAATGTAGTAATTTTAAAAACCTCATGCACTGGTAATGCAGCTCTCTGGTACACTTCTTACATAGCATGCACAAGATCTTGGGTTTGAGTGCTAGTGCTGCCAAAGAAAAGGAGAGAAAAAAGGAAAAGAAAAAAGCAAAGGGAAAATGACATGAAGAAACATCAAGAGCTGGGTACTGATATATTCTCAGCTACTGAAGAGGAGGCCGTAAGATCATTTTTGAGCCCAGGACTTCAAGGGCCAGCCAGGGATACAGAAAGAGCTCCTCTTAAAAAACAAACAAACAAAAATGTCTTCTTCAACTACATCACAAACCAGTTACTATCTCAAGCTACAAAATGTTTCTTCACATTTGAAGGGAAGGTTTAGACATTTATATTCATAATGTACCCAAATAGACTGAAATGCAAAGACAATCTCCAAGTTTTAGTTCACCAATGCCTACATGATCAGCATTAGAAGGGGAGGTGGGCAAAATAAATTGAAAGACTTGACAAAAAGCAGTATTTACTTTTTAATGAAATGCCTAATGAGCTGTTATTCTTATATGTACACTAGTGTTACTAAAAAAAGACAAATATTTGTTACCAAAAGTTAAATACAATATATGAAATATATAATTTTATAATAAATTTGTAAAAGTAATGGAATCAACTTACTTCAAATAAATTAAATAAAACACTTTTTATAAATAAATAAATAAATAAAAACCTCATGCATTTCTCAGCTCTTGGCCTGTAAACAGGTATTTCTGTGTGGGTTGGCAGCTTCTGCTTTGGAGTCATTTTTTTACTGTTTACATTGAAAAGAACAGAGGTGTGTTGTTGCTTTGACAAAGCCCTATTTTTTCTATGGAGTACAACTGTCCCTGTCCCCATCCATGCATCTCTTGAATTCAAGGTCTTTCGGTGAAAATACGAACTTTGCTGGTTTCTGAGCAGGCGAGGTATTTCTCTAGTCTGTAGACAAGGGATTTGTGATTTTATTATCCTTCATTTCTCTCTCTCCTGAGAGGATGGCATTTGTGCTGAACACCAATGAAATTGTCAGCACTAACTGTCAACATTGCAGCTCTACACAAGTCTTTTGTCTTCACACAATCTGGAAACTGGGCCTCTAGGTTTTGCGCTCTCTTTGCTGAGAGGAGCAAACCAAAAAGTTGACATTGTCACCTGCGAAGGAGAGCAGGTTGAAGTAGTGTTCAGCCTAAACGCTAGCAGGAACATTAATATTGAACTGAGTAACCCCAGGAACGCCTTTCCATCTCACTCAGGTCCTCAACTGTAATGTCCTTGAGGACCTGGCAGAAGTCCATAATCATCCCAAGCCTTGGAGGCAAGAAGCATGGCTCCCAAAACAATTCCTTTCCAGTTAGTGGGACAAATGTCCATCTCAGCATAAGTTAAAAGCCCTTCTAAATAAACCAAAGTTACTAATGCACATTCAGCTGTACAGCACTAAACAGAGAGCAGACAAATCTGTAGATAAATTTGTGTTCTGGGTCATGCTTGGAGTACTCCTCGAACCTTATTTCCTGTGAGTGGATGTGACTTCTCATTGAAAATACCCAGGAATCTATTTGTGTCTCTGTTCTTTATGTGGTAATGCATTGCTAGGGTCACACATTCTATTGTGGTTCTAAGATTAGGCTGGCACACGGTGCGGTCATCTGCAAATACTGTTGAGCATAAGCTATACTTTTGAGTAAACTGCCTTGGAGCTGCATGGTTTAAATGGTTGCTCTTCTTCTCATACACATCCGTTGGAGATTTGCTCAGGAAATTGTGCTTGCCCTTGGGTGTCAGAGGGCTTTGATTTCCAAGTTAAATCTTCGAGCATCTCCTGCCTCGGATGTGCTGCAGGTGGTGTTGCTCGCCAATGCAGAGATCCAACT